CGCCCCGGCCCCGGGGCCAGCCGGGGCCCCCTGGGCGCCGGCCCCCGCAGCCGCCGGGCCGGGGCTGACACCGGCCTGAAGGCCTTTGCCGGGGTTTGCGGGGGAGGCTTGACGGCAGCGCCGCCGCGCTGGGCTTCTTTGCGGGGAGCGCTGCCCCTTTCGGGGGCAGTTGTGCAGAGAATCATACCCGCCGGGGTTAAAAACGTTACAAAAGGGCTTCGGCGATGGTAGAAGCTACGAGGCGGTATCTTAAAAGTACTGCTGGGTTCGAGTATGAGAAATGCTATTATCTGCCAGGCTACTCGCGGTGAAATTTATCAGGAAGCGTCGATGGCAGGCAAGCAGCGTAGTGATGAGTCGTCAGTAATGACATCGCAAAACTCCGCAGAGGGAGTTCTGGTTTTAACTTACGTTTTAACTTAGTTTATCTTGGAACATAGTTAACACAAACATTTGAGTGTCTCCCCTTTGCTTATTTCCCCTTACTGATTCTGATCATTCGTGACTTCTAATTTTTTCAGTTGTTATCACCCACACTCTGCTTTATAAAAACATCAGGAAACTTAAAAATATACAATTAATTGCTATCTACCAAAGAGCTAAAGCGGCTTCCCTGCAATGTCACAAAACACTGCCAAACTAGGGACAACTTTTAACTTATCCTATTTTGAGATAATTCATTCCCTTCACATTTTTCAGCCTACAGATGAAATGAAGCAGAGGCCTTAGCAACCAACGTAGCAACCTACATAAGCCTGATTTGTTTTCCGAGCCTTGCCTATGGACTGAGCTAACAAGGCATAGTAGGTTATTAACTTTATCTTCTTTGCAACTGAAGCAGCATTTTTACTGTTAGCTTTTGGTATGCGTGAATAATTGTTTTTAGCTGCATACAAATTTAACAGAGATGTTGATGTTATTAATGGTATTACAGTGGTGATGATTGTTTTTTTCCCATCAGCTGTTTTAACAGTGTACAGCAAATACCTCACAACTGTTTAGGAGAGAAAGGAAAAAATATTTCTGCAGTTTAACAACAGCATTTGTTGTTTGCCAGAATTAATTAAAAGAGTGAAATTAGTTCACAACTGGCTTTACTATATGTTGGTACATATGTTACCTAAATAGGGACTGGTATCAAATATATTCCATACCCCCAGTTCCCTATGATGGAACTGATGGATAAAGACAAAGGTGATCAACTCCAAATTTTCATTGCTGTTGAATTAGCAAGCAATTTCAATTCAACTCTGGAATATAAAACTAGAAACAAATATTGTGACTATGTGGGTATATTTTTGATGATAAAAGTAATGCTGATAAATAAATATATATATATATATATATGCAAACTACATACAGCCATGTGACTCCTGGTAAGTGAGTATGAATACCCTATCATCCAAGAAGAACAGATGCCTGTCTGGAACAGCAGACTATTTTGCATGTGAATTACTTTCAGCTGGAAGAATAGAGATTTTCCAGTTGTCCTATGATAATAAATTCCTAAAGCCTGTGTTGGTCAAAATCATGCAGAATTATACTACAATATAAGTCGGTATTTTTTCTTGCTTTCATGTTTACATAGATTGTTTTAAATTTAACCTACACATTATAAAAGGCCCAGACATGTTTTTTGAGTTACCGAAAATATTTTGTTAGAAGAATGTGATAATACAATATTTAAATATTTTCATTTCATTAAACTTTGTTTGCAGTGTTTTATTTGTATTGTCAGTGTACACCTTGAGGAGAAGGCTTGGGGGGATCTTCTCAATGTATATCAATACCTGATGGGGGGAGTAAAGAAGATGGAACCAGACTCTTCTCAGTGGTGCCCTGTGACAAGACAGGAGGCAATGGGCACAGGTTGCAGCACAGGAAATTCCACTTGACCATTAAACACAGGTGGAATGGACAAAAATCAAAATACAGGAAATTCAAATTAAACATAAGGTATCTCAGTGTGAGGGTGCTTAACTTAAAAAGAAGACGACGCTTTTACTGCAAAGGTGGTCAAAGACTGGACCAGGTTGTCCATTGAGCTCTTGGAGCCTCTGTCCTTGGAGATATTCAAAACTCGGCTGGACGCAGCCCTGAGCAGCCTGCCATAGTTGACCCCCCTTGGACGAGACAATCTCCAGAGGTGTCTTCCAACCGCAACCCATCTTTCCTTCTGCAATTCTATTGCCGAGGTGCTCAGCACGCAGGAGGGGGACGTGTCAGAGCAGACAAACCGCGCTGGAGGAGGTGGGGTGGGAGGGGCTGTTTTGACATCCGCACGCGTTTCTTGGCTGATTTTGTACGTCTAGTATTAACAGTCAGAGGCAGTCTGGGCAGCGATGCCTCAGCCAAAGTTCCTCCCAGAAAAAGGCTCCGTGCTTCTCCGCTCCTCTGAACAGCCGCAGCAGAGCAGTTGCACCTAGGGAAGGAAGTAGGATCCTATAGGAAATATATCCTGTATTTGAACTGTTACTAATAGATGACTCGCAGAATAAAACGCTGCTTGTTTCTAATTTACACGATATCGCGAAATGTCCCCTTTGCGATAAAACGCTGTTTGTAAGGCGAGGGGACTGTAGCCTGAGCTGCGTCCTGCCATGTTTCCAGTTCGGCTCTGGCCTGCCGCTGCAGGCCTGCAAAGGGAGCCGCTTGGCGCTCTTCCCCCTTTTCCCTCTTGTTTCCCTGAGGAGCGGACGTGTGACTTTTGGGAAAACGGGGGCTGCCAGGTGGCTCTGCAGCCTCAACCCAGTTGGAGGTTACCACAAGCTCCGCGTCTTCGCGGGTGGGCGCCGCTGCTTCCTCCCGCGGGAGGGGGCCTGAGTCGGCCCGGCCACGTTACCAAGGCAGAGCCATAACCGCCCTCCT